CTCACCGCGCCCAACCTCGTCGAGCTCGACATGCCCTTGACCACTTACACTGGGTCTCATATTGGGCGGGCCCTCGTTCGCGCGGAGAACCTGCGCCGCTTCAGGCTGGTCATTGGCGCGAACGGATGCAGCTGGCTCGACAAGCTCGACATCCCGGCCAGTATCCCTACCGTGGAGATTGACTACAGGGCCGGTAGCGACGCTTGGACTGCCTTCTGGAAGCTCGTCGCACGGTCTCCAAACCTGCGACGTTTGAGGCTTCTCGTTGAGTATGGGATCGCGGATAAGCTCGCGTCTATCGAGCTGCCGGCCAGCGTTCGGAGCGTAGAACTGGATTTCCGTAGCATACGACGCTCATGGCCCGCGCTCTGGAGCTTTATCGCTCGGTTCCCCAGGAACCTTGAAAGCTGGGCGCTGCGGGTCGAGGTGTTCTCGCTGGATCCGGACGACTACCGCGTGCCGCAGGATTCTCTTTCGGGGACCTTGAGTGTGGCAGGGCTCTTCTCGTCTTTGGAAGTGCCTCCTACTGCGTTTGGGGCCTTTGTTGCTCTGCCTGGCCTTTCGATCAGGCACTTGACGCTCATTGACTGCTTGGACTTTTCGTACTACGACAGCTGGTGGACCGCTTTCAGGAGCTTGAATTCCTTGCGGACTCTTACCATCGTCCGGTTGGCTAGTGAATTGTTCCTCCGCTACATTCCCCCTTCAGTGGAAAAGCTGCACCTGGAGGAGATCTTCTTCAGCAACACCCCCCCCGGCATGTTCACGGACATCCGTCGAGCTTTGCGGGCGCTTCCGAAGCTCAAGTCGTTCACGTGCACGTTTCGAGAGTACAAGAACTCGCGCGGGATCCCAGTCGAAGAGCAGCATGCATGGTTCAATATCGCGGAAGAGGTCAACACGGGCGCCTTGTCGGCGGCCGATGACCTCGATGGACCTTTCGTTTACAACCCGCCATCGGATGCGGATGACGAAGACCTGTAGTGGACGTTACCATGATTAGCTGCTTTCTTCGGTGCCGGCTGTATAGGGAAAGGCTACCTGAAACCGAGTGCTTTCTACAAGTCTGAATGAATGCATTGCATTCTCTGAAGCTCAACGATAGTGGGTCACGATCTTGACCTCCACGCCCTTCACCTTGTGCTTCCAATCGTTCCTGGTCTTCCTGTGCCTAGCAAGGACCACCTTCTCCAGCTTCGGCATCTTCTTCAGCGTCTGCAGCAAGTCGTCCGGGAAAGCCCCATCCTTGAGGCACAGGTTCAGGTCCAGTACGGCGATATTGGATGATTCAAGGAATCTCAGGAAGGCCACGGAGAGCACTGTGCCAGGCGGTCCGCCGACCCGCAAGGAGCCGAGGTTCGGGAGCTCGTAGAGCATTTCGAAGCCGACCGGCTCGCCGAGCGCGGCAGGCATGCCGAAGTGGGTGACGGCAAGGGGAAACATCAGCCAGAACTCCGACTCCTGGCGATGGACAACGGTCAACTTCGAAGACAGCGAAGGAGAAGAAAGGACCCACGGGCTGGAGATCGCACTCGGAAAGGTCGAACTCCATGAGGTCCGAACATCCATGGAGGATGCCGGCGAACCGCGACATGACCGCCGCATCCTTCAGCCTGATCGCGTGCAGCTCGAGCTTCCTCATCTTTCTCGATACGATCCCGTCCAGCGCACTCTCGGGGAATCCGTACAGGACGAGCTGTTGGAGGTGGGGCGACGAGGCCAGGGTCCGGAGCGCGGCATCGTCTGTTGACCGGACGGGCCCGGCGAGGCAGCGAGGCCGTCCGTGCATCATGTCGTACTTGCCGTGGACTTCCAAGCTGGCCAGATTGGTGAGCAAGGGCGCGAGCTTGGGCAGAGCGGCAGAGTCCAGAAGCCGGACGCCACTGTCCAATCGGAGGCAATTCAGCCTGGAAATCCATGCGTAATCCACCAATGCGGCCGGGAGATCAAAAAGCGCTTTGTTCTGATCCATCCACGAAGGTCCGTGGAGATCGATGCTCAGGTCGTCGAGGTCCCTCCACGTGCGCAGGGCGGTTTCCGCGGCGGGGTAATAGTTCTGGTGGAACTGCAGCGTGGCGCAGCGGATGGGGCACGGGCGGACGGCGTTGAAGAGCGGAGCTTCAAGAGCGTCGAAGACCGGCACGACGACGGATGTGGTGTTGTCAAAGTGAGTCAGGTTGGGAAGCCGCGGGATGAGCGACAGGAGGGGGGCGAGCTGCGCTTCGTTAACGATGTGATTCGGTCCGAGCCTGAGGGAGATCCGCCGAACGAGGGGCAGGTAGCGCAGGGCGGCGTCCGACTGCAGTGTCGGCAACAGGGAGCGGTCCGAGGTCCAGCTCGCGGGGTCCAGATGCGAGTAGATGCGCGATGCGGCGGCAGCGAACCAGGCCGAGTCCAGCGCGAGCAGCGGAAACACCTTCTTCCTGTCGGCGCGGCAGTTGCAGACCGCCTCGTCATGGTCGAAGAAGCCAAAGGGGCGGACGGACGGGGCGCCGGCGGAAGGGACGAACAAGCAGGGCGGGTACGCGAAGCTGGCGAGCCAAGATGAGCGCAGAGCGCGTCGTACGCGAAGGAGGCCCACGTGAGAATGAGAGACACGACCTCGGCGGGGAGCCGGTGCGACGCGACCGCGGTCCCGTCGCCCGGCAGCGATCCTGCGGCTGCTACGGCCGGTCGCTCAACCACGGCGTTGCTCTTTGCCGTCCTCTTCCTCCGCTTCGGCGGCATTGCTGACGACCGGGGTGAGTGACGAGGAGCGGTCAACAAAGGGACGCGGGGCACGTGCAACCAACCATCAATCATGTCCGCCGCCGAGCCCCCGCCGGCGCTGGAAGACGTGCCGCCGGAGATTTTTGAAGCCATCGCCGACTACATTGTCGCGGCGGGCGGTCTGCGCGCGCTCTCGCGGCTGGGCGCCGCGTGCCGCAGACTCCGCTCGCTCGCGGTCCCCCGGCTGTAAAGCGAGATCCGCGACCCAAAGGCCGCGCAGCTGGACTTTCTCACGTCGGGACACGGCCACGGCGTCGAGTGCGCGGCTGCCGTGCGGCGGTTCGTCTGCCCCTTCGGGGCCGAAAGCAAGAATCGGCTCCGCTACAGGCTTCTGGAGATCGTCGCGCCCAACCTGGTCATCCTGCTGCTGCAGATTGGAAGTCCTGGTGCCCACCCCGTAGCCAGGGCCATCGCGCTGGCCTCGAACCTCCGCCATCTCGGGCTCGACTGCAACGCCGGCTGCGCGGACGCCCTCGCCGAGATCGTTCTGCCACCAAATGTCACCAACTTGATCCTTGAAATCGACGCCTGCGACTCGTGGACGGGAGTTTTGAAGTTCCTCGCTCGCTTGCATCACCCGGAGCTCGGCTTGTCCCTCCGCGTCCAAGATGAATCAGGACCGGGATGGCGAGGCTACCGGCTTCCCAATGCGCCCCTGCCAAAGTACGCTGCCGAACACATGGTCTCGCTCACGGCGCCGTATCCTTTCGTGGAAGCCCTCGTGAAGGACAACGACCTTGCCTTGGTCGAGCTGCACGTGTTTGTGGACTCGCAGCAGGGGCGATGTGTTTTCGAATGGCTGGAATCTGTCACCGGCATGCGCAGCCTTCGCTCCCTCACCATCGAGTTGCGACATGCGTTCATTGCGCTGCTGCACGAGCTGCCTCCTTCGCTTGAGAACCTCCGCCTAGTCGACATGGTGCCTTCGGACGCAGATCTGCTGGACCAGGATGAGATACGGGCGATCCTCTTCAGATTGCCGAGGCTCAAGCACTTTTCTGTGCTGCTTCGACCCAGCTTGTTTCAAACGGCACACGCGGAAGCGTTCTGGGGAGGGCTCGAGGAGGCGGTCAGGGCACGGGCGGAAGCTAAGGCCTAGAGAGCCGACTGCGCTCAGGAGGTTGAGGCATGCCGCGATGGGCGAAGCAGGGGTTGCCGGCTGTGCTTTCGTCGGGCAGTGGGTGCGCCAGGCCGGTAGCAGGCCGCGCGGGGCCGAGCGGCGCGTGGGGAAGTTCGAGGAGGGGGGCACGAGGCGGACCTGGTGAGGCTGCTGGCGACCACGGCGTGCGAGGGGGTGACGCCGAGCCCGGCGGATTGGGACTGAGGAGCTGCGGATTGCTGATCGTTGTTCATGGCCGATGTATGCTTGGTGGAGGGTCTGATTCGAGGACGGTTCGCATTCACGTTCGGATCCCCCATGGCCGTAGTGACGGTGCACGCCGATGCCCAGCGGTCCCAGGTTGAGCCGGCGGTTCCCCGGCACCTGGCTGGTTCTCCAGAGCACGTCAGGTTCCCGGGGTTTGGCCAGGTTCCGGCCCGGTTCCCGACAAAAGATCCAGGTTCCGAGATCGACGCCAGGTTCCTAGACCGGCGCCAGGTTCCCGAGCTCAACGCCAGGTTCCCGACATTGACGTTTGGTTCCGATATCGGCGCCAGGTTCCGGACCAGGGCGCCAGGTTCCGAGGTCCGCGCACAGTTCCCGAGATCGGCGCCAGGTTCCCAACCTCGAACGCCAAGGCAGTTCCCGACATCGACGCCAGGTTCCGAACTTTCGCGCCAGGTTCCCAGACCGCCGCCAGGTTCCCGACGTCGGTGCCCAGTTCCCACAACCGACGATGGGTTGCGGAGGTCCACACGCCAGCTGAATGGCCCACGCTGCACGATGACGCGGGCCTGCGAACGGGAGGGCCCCGGAGTACACTGCCGCCGATCTGCCGAGAATCATCGTCCTCCGGGTCATGACGGGGTGTGTTGCATCATTCCCGAGGTGGACCGGCGTTAGCGGCGAAGTCCGCTAGACCATGCGGGCACGTCACCATGGGAGCTGGCTAGCTGGAACATGCAGGCCCCGCAAGGGACGCCCCGGTGAATCAAGGATGAGAGGCGCATCCGTTGTCGGACAGACTTTAAGGCTCGCATGCGTTCATCCGCTTAAGCACGGTGGCAGTGCGTCATCTGGGACGGGGAGGACGGCTCCTGGGTGCCACGATCCTCGGCTCGTAGTGCGGTCCGCCGCTTTAGCACAGTGGCAGTGCGTCTGCCTCGTATTTGATCCCGTTGCGACTCTCAAAACGGTTCAGGACGACCAGCAGAAGGTCCAGTGTTCGATCCACTGAAGCGGCACCCTTTTGCCCCACCCGGGCCCCGTCGTCCTCCGGCGGGTCGTTTTGGCCACGTTTGGGGCCGGGGCCGCGGTTTGGACGCCTGGCCGGCCCGGGCCGCCTCGTGGGGCTGTCGGAGCGCTCGGGGGGGTGCAAGCCGGGGCGGGGCAAACCGCGTTTGCACTCGGCCAGAGGGCGCGACCGACTCCTAACCTAATCAGAGCCAGCTTCAGAAGGTTTCCTTTTGGTGGACAGCCTTGCGGGAGGAGATGCGTTTTCGCCGAGGGTCGCGGAACGGGAACTTCCCTGTTCCCACAGAAGGTCTCGCCCCTGCAAGCATTTCACTCGTCCATGACACCATCTGACTTGCGAATTACGATCGCTCGAAGTTGAAAACTGAATGAACGGGACCTGGGAACCGGCTGTCGCCGGCGGAGATGACGGTCCAAGGGCAGGACCAGCTCCCTCGGAGAACGCCCCGAAACGAGGCAGACCGAGTCAATGACCGACCGCGCAGGCCGCCTTTACCCATCTCTTACATTCCCCAGCGGTGGCCGCCTAGAACTCGACGACCTCAATCCCGTACCGCCCCTGCCACCCTCCGCCCATTCTCCTCGCCCGCTTCCCGGGCCCCTTGGTGGTCTTCTTGACCCCTCTCTCCAGACAAGCACCCAGTCCGGGGCGCAGAGGATCCCAGGAGCGGTACAGGGAGAGAGACGACGACACCAGGTCGTGCAGGCGGCGAAGGAGGGGGTGGAGGGAGGGCTCGCGAGCGAGAACGTGGACGTTCGCGTCCAAAGTGAGCGAGGTGGCCTCGACGAGCTGTGGTTTAGTAGCGATTAGTTCGCAATGCTTCAAAGCCGGCCCGCAGTAACCACGAACCTGCTGGAGCGAGAGCTTGGTCCGAGACGCAATCATCTTCTCCTCGCCCTTCGGCCCGGGAAGCCAATCTCCCTCAACCTTCTTCCCCTTCCCATCCTTCTTTTTTCTGCCCTTATCCCCGTCCAACGCACCGTCTCCGGGAACGGGCCTGAACATCCACAGACCAGACTCGAGGTCGCCCTCCTCCTCCGCGCCCTCGGCGTACCCTTCGATCCGCCCTGCGAGCCAGGACCACAGCGAGCACCACTCTGCCGCCGACAGCCCGCGTCGCAGCGCGCGAACGAGCTCCAGGCGGGAGCTGGGGTACGTCAGCGCCAGGGAGAGGAGGTGTGATTGGCCCGCGGAGAGCGACGAGGCAGGCTGGGCGGGACGCCGCGCGGCGAGCGCGTCCATACTGCCGATCCTGGCGGGATCTGCAGGCGCGTCCGAAAGTGCGCCGCCAAGAATCCAGCGAATGCATAGCGCGAGATCGGATTCGGGAAGGTCTGGCACGTGCAGCAAGGCAGCCTCCACGGCAACGGGATCATCCCGTTCCAGGAGCCGGGGGAACCACCCCGCAACGGAATGCGCCGACACCAAGCGCGTGCGCAGCAGGAAAACGAAAGAGCGCAAGGGGGAAAAGGTAGCGTCGGTCGGGAGGCAGAGGCCGACGAAGCGGGGAATGAGTTGAGAGGGAAAGTCGGGGAATGCCGAGGGAAAGTCGGAGGGCGAAACCAAGGTCTTGGAAAGGAAACGCTCTGCGAACGCCTTCTCAAACGCCGAAGCGTCCGCAGAAGCAGCGGCAGCTTCGAGGGCCTCCAGGTCCGGATCAGCAGGTCTGGGTGGCGCGCGGCCGAGCACAGACGCAAGAGTCGGCCGGTGCGGCACCGCAAACGGTACCAGGTGAATCGAAGTCCGAAACGTGTTCGCGGTTGCCGCCGGCACGGAAACGGCAAACGCGGCCCGAGGCCCGTCGGGATCCGGGAACACGGTGAGCGCGATCAAGATGCCTTTCGGACCCTTTTCGGGGCTCTGCGTGAGCGATCCGGAAGTTCCATCGTCCACAGAAAGCTCCTTGTCCGCCTGCGTGGTGCCCCACACGGTCTCGACCAGCATGGCTCGTACCGCAAAGTCGGTTGTCGGGGACAGGGCGAGGAGGTGGGTGGCGTTGAGAAAAGCAATCTCGGCATCTTTGGCGGGCAACGGTATCCGCATCGAGGGTTTGACCGGGCCCGAGGCGAGAGAGATTTGAAACAAGACGAGATCCGTGCCGACTGCGGGAAAGGTGGTGGGCAATCGTGAGCCTCAACCGCTTTTGTCGAGCTTGCGCGGAGAATGCGTGAACTCACCAATCACGGCAAGCTGATGCGGTTTATCTTCGTCGCCAGATCCGCGCCGGAAGGCCCACGCAATAGGTTCGCCAAGGTCCTCCGGGAGGTCGGCGACACAGTCCGGAGACAGAGCCAGGTCGGAACCGACCGTCATGGCGGCGACATGGTACCTGCCAGAGTCCCTCCCCCGAAAGGCAAGACAGAAAGAGCCCAGCTGATCTCCAAGACCTCCCTCCGCGTCGACATCTTCCTCCGCCGCCGGCAAGCCGACCCAAACGACACGACCAGGGCCAGGCAGCGGCAACTCGGCCTGCCCGCGCACAGTGAGGTCTCTGCCGCCATCCAGGATGGTTGCCGAGCCGTCAACGTGCACAGCAACAAGGCTCCTTTTCAGGGGCACGAGCGAGGCGACCTCGGCCGAGAGGGTCCGTTTCGCCTTCTCCAGCGGCCTCGGAGAGGGGACCTGCCACGCCCAGAGCTGCTTCCCCGTCTCTGCGACTGGAACATCTGGCGAGGCAACAATCGCAGCCACCAGGAGGCCCGGCGGTCCATCAACTGGGCCAGAAGGCGCCGACGTTTGGGAAGGGGAGGGCAGGAAAACCGGGGCGCTGGCAAAGATAGTCCCAGGCGGCACGCTCCTGCTGACAGCCGGCCGATCCACGAGGTAGCCGTGCACACCATCGGCCTGCATGGCAGCGAGCAGCATCGGGGGAGACGAAGCCGCCAAAGAGAGAGAGCAAACCGTTCGACGAATGGGCGGCTCATACTCCGCCACCTGCGCCTTTGCCTTGGCAGGAGTGCGCTCCTTTGCCGACTTCTTGGTCTTCGGAGTGGGTCCGTTGGCGATGCCGTTGGGCAGAAGCTTCGGCGGTCCGCCGAAGCCGTCGGGAAGTCTGGCCGCGATGGGCCGCGCGGTCAGCGGCCGGGCTGCCCCGAGGAAGGCCGCATCGCCTGCGCCATAGTCATCGCCGTCCGCCATGAACGGCGTCAGCGTGCCCGGAGCCTCGGGCGACGCCGGGCCGGCCATTTTCGGTCGGGCTCCGGATGTAAACAGAGCGACGCGAGGAGAAAGGACGCCGCCTCATCCCAGGTAGACTGACCTGACCGCACCGGAACCATAAATCGGATCAAGAACGGAAAACCGCTTTCCAGCATTCAAGACAGCTATCGGTTGTGTTTGGCTTCGTTCCGCTCTTAAAGCTGGATGGATGCCACGACGAGGAGCCTACGAAACTTCGATCAAGAAGAAGGGTGACATCAACAGGAGGAAATCGAAGACTTGGTTCTGAAAGGATAAATGATCGTCGTGTGATTTTGTCTTTCGGATGATTCTTCGCGGGAAACCGCAATTGAGCGTGTGGGCGATGCGCAGTGCCGATCTGGAACTGCCTCCCGCACACTTCGAATCATGGCGCCAGCAACGGGCCCGCCGCCGACGACGTCGGTCTTTTCACCTACTCTGCTTGCCGGCCGCGTTGCTTTCATTACGGGTGGTGGTGGGGCCCCTTTCCGTGAACTGCCGAAGAGCTTGGCGTGCTAGCCTTCCTCGACCAGGGAGCGGCATTGGGAAGGCCATAACCGAAGCCTTCCTGCGCCATGGCGCGGCCGGCGTCTGCATCGCGAGTCGCGACCAGGCCAAACTCGACAAGGCAGCGGATGATATGCGTACCAAGGTGCCCGGGGCCAAGGTCCTCGCGATTGCGGCGGACGTCCGCAACCCGGAGCAGTTGTTCGCTGCCGCGGATCGCACTCGTGCCGAGCTCGGGCGCATCGACATCTGCATCGCCAATGCTGCTGGGAACTACATCACGCAGATGAAGGACCTGTCCCCCAACGGCTTCAAGACGGTCGTCGACATTGACTTGCTTGGAAGCTTCAACACATTGAAAGCCTGTTTCCCGCACCTCAAGGACGCTGCTGCCGAAACTGGCTTTGCGACCGTCATCGCCGTCACGGCCGGCGGCCTCCCAGAGCGCGGGAGCTTCGGAATGGGCCACGCGCTGAGCGCCAAAGCGGGTATCGACGCTCTCATCAGGACAGTGGCGAATGAGTGGGGAGCGCTTGGCATCCGGGCGAATTCGCTGGGTCCGGTGGGTGCTTCGGCTATGTCAGCCCGGGATGTTTCTCACCGTGAAGGTTTCTGGTCGCCAGGGGGGTATCGAGGACACCGGAGGCATGGAACGGCTGTCGATCAAGGGTGCCGAGTCCGCGGCGATCAAGGGCATTCCCCTCGGCCGCCTCGGCAACCTTACGGACATGCAGCTTCTCGCTCTGTGTGAGTTGCTGCTCCGTTTGTCCGTTTGCCTCGGTTGCTCTGACGGCCCATTTTCGCGCCGAACTCGCAGTCCTCGCCTCGACAGCGAGCTGGAACATCACGGGCGCCAACGTCATCTCCGACGGCGGCACCTGGCTGCGATCGGAGAACCAACCGATCGACATGGATGCGCTGAAGCGGGAGAACCGGCTGCCGCGCGTGGGGAGGGGAGGGGGCAAGCTGTAAGCGGACTTGGGGGAGGGCCGCCGAAACGGCCTGTAATCCAGAGAGTTCACGAAGCTTTCTCAATTGATGAAGCCTGCTTCCAAGTTCCCACCACCTATTAAAACGACGGATGATAGAGTGCACGTCGGTCTTGGCGGGATGAGAGAACCAGGGTCTGCATGGATTTCGACAGAGAAGCGCGATCCCTGTCCCCACGCAACTGCCTCCCACTCGTCCGTTTGCCTAGGAAAGACAGACATCTGCTTTCTCTGCTTGCCTGCATCAATTTTGTGGAAGTTATGGCACCGGCGACAGGCGCACCTCCGACGACCTCCGTGTTCTCGCCCACGC